AGCTGTTGTTGAGTCAATTAAAAGATTTAGGGTCTATTTGGTAGGAATACACTTCAAAATAGTCACAGATTGTAGTGCAGTTAGGAGTACTTTTGAGAAAAAAAGATTTGCTACCTAGGGTTGCACGATGGTGGTTAAGCATCCAAGATTTTGATTTTGAAGTAGAACACCGTCCAGGTGATAAAATGAAACATGTAGATGCTCTAAGCAGAAATCCAATAAGCGATGTACTTATTATGGATGCGTCTGATTGGGTTTTAGCATTACAACAACAAGACGAAAGTATCCGGATGATAAAAGAAAAGTTGGCCACAGCAAACGACAAGGACATTTCAAATAATTATGAAATGAGGGATCATAAATTGTATAGTAAGACGTTAGATGGTAAGCTTAAGCTGATTGTCCCCAAGTCTGCGCGATTTAACATATTGCGGAAATATCATGATATTGGTCATGTGGGACTAAAACGCTGCGAGGCAATTATCAAGGACACATTTTGGTTCAAAAATATTACTAGGTTTATAAAAAAATACGTGACTGCGTGTCTAGATTGTCATTATAAAAGGGGACAATATGGGAAACAACAAGGACAACTTTTTCCGATAACCAAGCCATGCGAACCACTTCATACATGGCATATTGACCATTTGGGCCCATTTGTCAAAAGTGATAGTGGAAATTCATATATTCTCATGATGATTGATTCATTCGCTAAATTTGTATTTGCTAGACCGACTAAAACTACAAAAGCTAAGGAGGTCAATGAGCATTTAGACGATTTATTTAGTATGTTCGGGACTCCCAAAAGAATAATTTCGGATCGTGGAAAAGCTTTCACTAGTAAAGCATTCAAACTATTTTTAAGTCAATATCAGGTTAAACATATTCTTAACGCTATAGCATGTCCAAGAGCAAATGGACAAATCGAACGGTATAATCGAACAATATTAAATGGAATAAATACGTCTATAGAAAATGAAAGTGACTGGCAAAGAGCTCTTCCCAAAGTCTTATGGGATATAAATAATACCGTAAACGATACTACCGGGTACACACCACACCTTTTAATGTTTGGTTATGAAAAAAATCGTCATGCTGATTTGAGAGATAATGAGTTTGAGGCCTCCCCCGATGCTAAGCGAAAGGCAAAGGAGAGGATGGACCTACAGGCGAAAAAGATGAAAAAAACGTTTCGATGAAAAGCACACGCCTACAAAGTCATACAGTAAGGGTGATCTTGTACTATGGTCTGGGGCGAATACAAATAAAAAAGAAGTGAGTAGGAAAGTAGGTTATCAAAAGTTTGGTGGGCCTTATAAAATCAAGAAGGTTTTGGGAAATGATAGTTATGAAATAACATCTTTGGAGGGCTTAAAGGGATATAAGAGATTTAGAGCCATAGTGGCTGCTGATAGCTTGAGAGAATGGAAAGGCGGTGTTATTGATATTTCAGAAAGTGAAGGCGGGGTCGATAGTACTGACGAATTAATTGATTTGTTGGAAAGTTAGGCTGTAAGGTATGTGTGATAGTATTGCTCATATGTCTTCTAATCATCATGTTAATAAAACTGGTTCATGAAGTTGCAGTTTTATTATATATCAGTGGTGGTGTGGTAACTAAGGTCACATCAGATGAAAAGTAATATGCATAAATATATATAATATACAGGGTGACTTTGAAGTTGAGTCATTAATTTTCAGATAATGATTGTAGAAGGAAGATAAACCAGAATATGTGTGTAAAAATAAAAAAAAATTAAAAAAAAAAATTACCTTGTTTTATAAAGTATCCTCCCGAAAAGTATTTCAGTGCGGACCTGTATTTGATCGTGAGGTCCCCTGTGAGGTCTTAAGTCACCTGATTCACGAGCCCGTTGTACTACATTAACAAAGGCACGAGGGGTTGGTTGCACTCGATTGGGAAACCGATCCGCATAAACATGTGCCATTTTTTATTTCGTTTGAGCCACGCAACAGAAACTATTCACACGCTAACCGACAGATACTGACTGTATGTATAACTGAACTGAATAAAACACTTAATTGCAAAAACGTCGTTCCAAATTCTTTCGCTTTTTTGTTTCCGATGCGATGAACCGGTAAGGCGGATTATATCCGTTGTTGCCAAACACGAGTACATGATATTATTATTGAGACAGGGCGGTACTCAAACTTCCAAAGGGCTATAACTTTGTTACTTTAATTTTACCAGAAAAATGTAAAGGAAAAAAACATTTCTTTTGATCAGATCTACTCACTGTTAAAATAAATGACTCAACTTCGAAGTCACCCTGTATATATGTGTGGTAACAAAGTTCACACTAATGAAAATAATATATGTGTGGTAACAAAGTTCACACTATTGAAAATAATATATGTGTGGTAACAAAGTTCACACTATTGAAAATAATACATGTGTGGTAATAAAGTTCACACATTCTCAAAGGTATATGCGTGTGGTAACTAAGATCACACTGCGGAAGAAAGTGTGTGAGTGTGGTAACTAAGGTCACACTGACTGTGAATGAACAATACTACAATTCATCCACCCTGTAATATATTTCATAACAAAGTGGTACTGTATTTTGATTCCTTTCTAGGGCAGCAAATAACCACCATGGTTACTATACCACTGGCGGGGACACCAGAGGGTCAGGAAGGCCGATTGTTACGGAAAAATAGTGCAGCGTATCCTGGGACGGCACTGGGAGAAGATTAGACGCTGAATCATAGGTACACACAGAAGTGGTACCGGACAAAAGCATGTAGATATATGGGGCAGAAAAAAATCGACCGTTGTTGCGCAGCGGATCGTTTTCATTTTACATTCGTAATAAAATAGAAGAGAATAAATTGAACGTTGTTACGGAGCGGGTCGTTTCCTTTAAAAACTCCTGAACATCATCGAATTTGGGAGGCTTAATATTTGCTTTCTAGCCCTAAAATTATGGAAATAGCTATTCGTTGATGAGCACGTGACTGAACCATCGTACCCGCACTAATTGGGTTAGTTGGCGCACGCCGTCAAACCCTAAAAAAGGAGAAAGAAACCCCGGAAAAAATGTTATACACCATTTGTCCAGTTCCTAGTACTTCTAAAGTGAATGTGGTACTCAAACGCACTCGTCTAGTGATGAGCTATACCGTTATTTCCCAATCACATTGTTAACTGCGATTGTGACTGTTAGATATCAGTGATTTTAAAGCGTGACGTGATCACAAAAATTGCAAAAAGTGCACGTTGGGTATGTAAAAAGAATATAAGTGACTGTGACCGAGATTCATGTTAAATATTGATATAATATGACCCAAAAAAATGAACAAAATATATAAAATATGCGATTTTTGGTGATAAATAGGAAATGAAAATAAGAGACATTCTTATACAAACAATAAAAATAAATTAAAATAGTATTTCTGTTACTGCTTAAAAATAATAACTAAAGATGAAAGCAACAATATGTGAAAAATAGTAAAAAAATAATATAATAAAAGTAAACATATTAGGAACAGAAATACAAGTCTCAGTCTTTGCAATATTTTAAATTTGAATTAAGGAATAAAACAATTTGAAATTTTTTATTGCTCAACCTATTCCGCGGTTCAGAAAGAACCTGGCCTGCTGTGGAGAACAAACGTTCGCATGGAACAGAGGTAGCTAAAACGCCCAGTTTTTCCTGTGCAACTGTAGCTAAACAAGGGAACATTTGCTTATGGCTCCGCCACCACAGAAGAGGATCGCTATTTCGTGGTAATATTTCTTCCTCAAGGTATCTCTGAAGTTCAATTATTGCCCGTGACATAGATGTTCCTTTAGGTTGGGTTTGAGCCACAATTTTATCGAAGTCACCAAAAATATCTTCTTCTGCATGATCTACTGGAGTTTCTTTGATAAGTTGTTCTTCCGGTTTTTTCTGATTTTCGCGTGTCACTTCATTTATTTTTTCTACTATTATTTCGGTTACCGTCTTTTTTATGCCCTCGGCTGTATAATGATTTCTAAATGCTAAATTTTTGAATCTGGGATCAAGATACGTGCTGACGGACAATGTTTGACTCTTCTCAATGCTACCAAGACGATTTTGTAACTCTGTAAAAAACTTTCGTACAATATCAGTTAATGGTTGTGAATAATTCTTTTTAGTTAATCTTTCAAAAATATTTACTAGTCCGTTACAGGTTGGTATGACAAGAGCACCAGTACAATATTTTTCCCCACTCAACGTTTCAGTCGCTCTTTCAAAGTGTTTTAGTATTTGACATAATTCTTTTATAACTTGCCATTCCGCAGACGTAAGAGTAGGTAGCTGTTTATCAATAACGGCCAACGTACACTTAATAGCCTCTTCCAACTCAACAAATCTTTGTAACATGTGAAGCAAAGAATTCCATCTTGTTGGTACTTCTAGAATTAGCTTCAATGGATTTTTCCCAGGTTTTCCTGATATTTCAGGAGCTTGTTATTTGAAATGGTACTTTTTTTAAAGTGATTGACTATTTCTCTGATTTTTTCTAAAACACTCAATATTTCATCATTCTTTATACTGTCTTTGACAATTAGGTTAATAGTCAGTGCAACACATCCCATATGTCTCCAGCCGATTTGCTGCAATGCCTTCTGTATATTTGGAGCATTATCTGCTACAGCAAAAATAACCCGATTTTCGATTTTCCAATCTCTTGTAACCCTTTTCAGATCTTCAGCGAGGTTCTCAGCTGTGTGACGCATGTCAGTTGCGGAACATTCCAGAAGTATCGACTTAAAATTGAATTCGCTGTCTAAAAAAGTGCTGTTACACCAACATAACTAACGTTGTTAATTGATGTCCAGGCATCTGTTGTAATACAAAACGTTCTGCCAGTATTTATTATTGTTTTGGTATTAGTGAAACATTCTCCATATGAAGCAGGGATCAGAGTTTTAGAAATGATATGCCTACTTGGCAGCTCATATGAGGGATTCAATGCTAATACGAATTCTATGAATCCAATATCATCTACTAATGAAAAAGGTTGAAGGTCTTTAATAAATAAGCCAAGCAACTTTTTACCTAAATTGTCTTTGCTTCTAACAGATATTTTTGGAGGCACACGGAACTAATTGTCGATCCTGGTTTGATCTGATGTGACTTATTTGTTGAACTTTTGACTAAAGCCGTTCGACCTTCCACGGAATTAAGTGATGAAATTTCTGAAGTAGATGGACGATCGTTATCAATACTTTCGTTATTCTAAAATAAAGCATATAGGTAAGTAATATGTATTTTTTATTATTGAATAATGACAGTGTTGCAATACCTGGCCATTTTCTTTATGTTGGGCTACCACTGTTGACCTCTTGCTTTCCAAAAAAGTGATTGTGACCCTAGGATGTTTCTTTTGCATGTGCTTTTTTAAATTTGACGAGCTCGTCTTATATGAAAGTTTTGATTTACACATAGTGCATATTGCATGACTTTCGTCTATCGGATCAAAAAATTTCCATATTTCACTTGTTTTCTTTTTAGCCGAGACGGAGGCCATTATTTCTTTTACATATGCGTAGATGACGTAACTCCTAAAATTATACTCAAACTTAAAACTTTTAGTAATTAAAGATGTATCAGATGATGCATTTTAATACAAAAATAAATAAAGATCAGCATAAGCTCTCCCAAAAAAAAAAATACATTTACTTACCCGTATCGCTTATCGGCCGAAATCATGCAAATCACATTTTTAAGGTTCACGATATTCTATAAAATGTTACTGTCAATCAGATAACGATCTATTAAACTTTCCAGTTCCAGTATTTTAAATCGCCGAGTAGCAACTAGCAACCAACCAACCAAAGAGAACGAAGACCACAGTGTCAACAAGGTTGAATTTCGTTTATCGCCTTAAGAATAACAAGGGAAATTAAGCGTGTCGCGCCTTAAGGAATCTCCGCCTCACTCTCACCGTCTCCCAGCCAGCGGCGCCGCGCCGGTAGAGTGAGGGATTGTGGGTTGTGAGCTATGACTGTGATCGAGTCACACCTTAGAACGAGTTTTGGTAACAGTTGTGACTTGTGAATCCTCGATATCTGTGATTAAATCACAGTTCGTGAAATATCCCTCATCAGTACACTCGTCAGCCTGCTGAAATATTGGCATTTACAGAAATTTACAGAAAAAAAGAAAACACTGATAGAAAACAAAATTAAATTGTGCCAAAAAAATCAGGGTGAAAAAAATGACAAAACACCTAAGATCAGCCAACCGGAAAAAACAAGAAACTCGAGTGAATCTTTTTCGGACAATGACACACCTCTGGCAGAACTACGCTGCAAACTGTTAGCGGAAAATAAAAAGAAAGGTGTGAAAAATCGTAAAAAGGCACCAAAATTTCGACAAACCATGAAAAGCAGTACAAAAAGATTCAGAGATTACAGTACTTCTTCTTCAAATACTGATGTAACTACTGACTTAAAAGCGATTCAAATTGCGACATCCATAACAACGAAGAGGAATCTGAGTGTGTTGGCTGTGGGGAGATCTACATAAGCACTACAGGTCAAGAGAACTGGCGTTTCTTGCCATAAATGGCTTGAGGAGAGCTGCACGAAGTTTCCGAACTACTGCTTGCGATGCGGCCGACGTGAAAGTGTTAAAATTTAGTTATTTTTTCTCATTTTTTTGTGTGCCCCATACCCTAGGGGTGAGATGGTATTTCTTATTATTCAGGAAAAAACCCTTTTTTAGTTAGTAAATTCAAATATTATTGCGGTATTTTTTACTTTCATTTTATTCAGTACTACTGTATAAAAAGTTGATACTCATTAAATAATTTAAATCTGTTTTTTATGAATTTATACTATATACTAAGTAAAGGGGGACATCTTCAACAATTTTTGTAATCATCTTGTTGGTTTTGGTGTTATGTTTTCAGTTGTTGTTGTTCATTACCCCTAATGTGTTTAATTTTTCCAATTAAATTAATAACAATATTGCAATTTAGACAATAGAACGGTTTTTATTTTTTTACTCAAAAACGGCGCATCGAAGGAAAACAATTCAAGAGAGATCATTTGTTTTAAATTGAACGAGGAATTCAAAAATAATTATTTTATTTGCTAAATACCATTGACGTACCATTTTTTTTCTTAAAAAGTATCAGTCAATACCCGTACGCGCGCCACTGTTAAAGCTAAAAATTATTTTTGCATTGAAAAATATGCAAATTTATTAACTCTCACTACGTACTAAATATCAGTGAAATATCTGAAGCGGTTCTGAAAATATTAATTAATTTCCATTTTTTCCTAAAACTTCAGCACCCCGAGTTTTTGTAACGAAACATTTTTGAACGATAGTTTATAAAGCAAACTGACATTAATTATTTCATGTAGACTCACACCCCTAAATATTCGCATATCATTAAGGAACACCCTGTATATATACGCAAATATCATGACAAATCATTGAATAATTCCAGAAGGAGAGTGTCATATCTTGTTTAAAAAATATTCATACTGTTGATTCACACACATATTAGAATAGCCTTAATACGCAAGCTCCGCCCACAAAGGAGTATGAGATATTCCAGGTCAAAGAAACTTTGAACACAACAGTGCGGTACGGTAGAGTTTTTTAGGTATTGGCATAAATACAGGGTACACAAATCTTTGAAATTCCGTAAGCACTCTGAATATCTCCAGTGCAGCATTCTTTTGGGGAGACAAGGAGTTTAAAAATCATATTCCATCTATCGTATACTGGCAAATAAATGAAACCGCAGATGCTGTTATTTGATTTGCACTTTGGAAAATACTGCAAAAACGTCAGCAAGCTTCGTAGTTTTTCAACGCGTGTGGTTTCTTTTATTAGCCTGTTTAAGGAAGTTGGACTGGAGAGACAATCATAGGGTAAGTTGTTCTACACATTACGTTTAAGTTCCTCTTATTAATGATCCTGAAGGGGATAAAACTATAATAAGTGGATTCTGCTTGAAGAAGGTGGACGCTTGTAGTTTTTTACAATTCAGTCTTCGTTATTTTCATACCACTACTAAAAACTACTCTACTATAACTACTATTAAAGAAGAAATCCCACCCGTGTCTTAAGGAAACCGTACGAAATATAATGGCAAAGACTCCACCTCAGGAAAACTAATAATTATCATAAAATTCGAAATATTGAAGCGCATTGTACTCAACTATCGGTCTTGAATTTGGGCTTGAGGACACAATTTCGTTGATAGTCATAGCTCGAAGCATACGTCGCTTTGACACATGATCAAGAAATGACATTTCGCCGATTCGACAGATAAGCCCTCGATCCTCGATCCTTGCCTGTGCTCGCACGATCGCACTTGGTTTAATGTTGCAGTGAAGTGTCTTTTTGGATCAACTATTGAAGTGAGGATTTGTCCATCCGCAGTGCGCTTTATATTCAGCATAACCAAAAGCCATAAAGTCCATCCGGAGTATTAATTTTTCATTTGATACCCCTGCATGGTGAAGTCCGTGACACCTATTCTTGAAAATGAAAGAATAGAATCACATCCCACGAATGTGATGCCCACGTGATTCGAAACCATGCCGGTTCTCTTCCCTGGGAATGACATAAAAATCTGACGATAGTGGTCAAACCCACCCTATAGCCTACTGCTTCTGAAATTCCATGAAAATAGGTGTAGTGTTCATTAACTCGACGCGGTTACAAGCTCGAGAATAGTCTTATTGGCCGATTAACAGATTGACGAAAATAAGTTATGACTTTTCGTGATATATACGTACGATAGAACAACCAAAAAAGTAATATTTTTAGCATTTCGGATACTGCTCATTTGTGAGAAGCGAAATAATCGCATACTAGTAAAGCATAAAAGGGGTTTTATTTTTTAAAAGAATCATCAACCTCTTGATTTTTAGAGCTTTGTTCAGGGGTACGAAATAAATTGAAACGCATTTGAATTTCACCAGCTGAAGCTACTACGTGTTCGTCAGCGCCGCGCTACGAGAACGAAGGGGGCTGCCAGCATAACGTGAATCTCACTGTCGCCTCCCCGTAGCTAATGACCGATCTCTACAATCAACATCTCAAGAACTGGGAAACAATCTTTCAGTTCACAGAACGCATCTGAACAAATGATGTATGGATAGTGTAGATACTTAGCGATGGAATTGCAAGATTATAAATCCTTTTGCTTCTTCTAGACATCGCGAAATACTATGAATTTTTTACTGAAATAAAAACATCAGTGATCTCCACTTTGTATTAAAATACTGTATAAATGAGAAAATGGGTATCGTATGGCCAGATTATGTACAGGGTGTAAACGAAATACCATAACGTTTACACCCTGTATATTATCTGTTTGATGGCATTTAGACCTGAGAATGGAACGGATATGCGAGTCTTCCACTCCAAACGACAGAAAACATAGCCGCCATTTTATTTTAGCATGTACATTTGACCCTGGGGCAATTAGTCATAGTTATTATAGTACCATTTCACAAAACTTAGGCATGGCGTCAATTTTCGTGGGTTTTTAAATGCAGGGATACAGGAAACAGCCTTTATGATAAATTTACGTAGACTGTCAGGCAAATCATATTGAGGGCAATTTATAGACCAGTTCATACAATTGAGGTTGATAAAGAGCGTATCTATGCCAACATATAAAGGGCGACTCAATAATGAACGTATACATCAATGGAGCAAGTAACGTAATTTCTAAAACTGATCCTGTAGTTGTCTGTTTGATCCATCTTTTTTTACAAATTAATCTGAAAAATTAAGAGATGGCGGCTGAGTATACTAAAAAACTACATTATGCTAAATTATAGATAGAAATGCGTCACGGTATAATCGCACGAGTAATCACTCCACATCCCAATTTCAATCCCAAACTTATATAATCACCACAATGTAAGGTATTTACTCAAAAATCTTCCCAGTACAGTGCCAATGATAATTTGCATTAAATAAATAAAGAAATTTACACTAAAACTTATTGAAACCATAAATATTAGGGAATTGCAATGTTGCCATTCACTCGCTGATAGAATTGGTAAACTGGTAGTAAACAAACCTAAAACAAACATTTAATCACAAAAACCAGCTGTTTGGACTCATGACAACATAAAACCTTTAACATTCTTGAAAATCTGTATAAGCAATAGTGAAAAGTAGGATAGTGTGAACTTTTTTTGTATTGAATTTAGGTCAGCAGATGAAAAAGATTTCCTTGAGTCAGAGCCTCAGTCGACATCTGGCAACATTTTTCTTTCCTTTTTTTTGGCTTTAGGACCAAGCCATGCAGCCAGAAACTCGGTTGGTAAAATGTCCAGTGTTCAGATGTACAAGTAATAGTATATACAGGGTGACTTTGAAGTTGAGTCATTAATTTTCAGATAATGATTGTAGAAGGAAGATAAACCAAAATATGTGTGTAAAAATAAAAAAAAATTAAAAAAAAAAATTTACCTTGTTTTATAAAGTATCCTCCCGACAAGTATTTCAGTGCGGACCTGTATTTGATCTTGAGGTCCCCTGTGAGGTCTTAAGTCACCTGATTCACGAGCCCGTTGTACTACATTAACAAAGGCACGAGGGGTTGGTTGCACTCGATTGGGAAACCGATCCGCATAAACATGTGCGATTTTTTATTTCGTTTGAGCCACGCAACAGACACCACTATTCACACGCGTTACCGACTGACACTGACTGCATGTATACAACTGAATAAAATAATTGTAAAAACATCGTTCCAAATTCTTTCGCTTTTTTGTTTCCGATGCGATGAACCGATAAGGCGGATT